TAGCACTGTTAAATTATATAAATCATCAAAGAAAGGTAAATACAGTGTTCGAATAAAGGACATAAATGCATCGTGTAGCATCATAAAAATTAATGACCTACGCAACGAAAAATCGTGCAGTGCAGTGCAAAAATCAATACTTTAGCGCTAATGAAGAAAATCAAACTGAATGTAAAATGATTTACTTTAAGTTAAAATTGAGTTAGCTTAATGCACATGTTAGTGGGATAAGTTTAAAATAGTCATGTGTTTGGTGTGTATATGCCTGTCTTTAAATATCTAATATTTAATACTTCAATCACAATTATGAACTGTTCCGCTAAGTCACATTGGATATTGGGTTCCTTATATCGACACTCCATAAAAGTCAATTCTGTAGATTTGTTAGACTTCCCATAATATAAGATTATAAAAGGCAGCACTCTGAGACTAACTTAGATGTAATTTATTCAACACAAGCTTCCGCTAGCAGTCAATGCCAGCCTCTTCAGGTGTGTGAAGTAACAAATTTTAAACACTGTAGAAAAGAGCTAATGCATACATAATAAGCAAAGGTCTCACAAACCAATTAGCAGTCGGATACAATGTAGTACACTTGTTATCTCTGATCATTATATACTATATTGTATCCTTGACAATTGACAAACCTGTACAGAATTCATTTCAGCAGCAATTAGCAGTAGTTGAACTAGATTGACATTCAAAACTTAACCATAAAGCTCATTGAGTGAGTGTAAATTTTCTGTTGTATACCGTAGTATGTATTATTCGTCGTCTACCGGACCAACATTCGCAAGCCAGTTACTGATGTAGGAAGTTTGTTTTGCTCTGAAGATATTACCAGGGAACAGTGAAATTACAAATAGTTTCAGATGAAAAGTCATCCACATCTTGTCCCACCCAGCCACCATGACTGTTCTGCTGGAACTGATCCAGATTAGCTCTTTCCTTTCGTCCACACTACAGTACTTGAGTCTCGCATATCCGTCATCATTATTTTTTATCATTATCATCTTCAGCATCGTCCTAATCATTATCATCACACGATTATCATCACTTTTCAAAGTCAAAATCAAAGTAATACTTATCATGCAAAGGAAATTGCATACTACTAAGAAAGAAATCATTAATAAACGTTTCTGAATGTAAGAAACTGCATTATTCTAGCATTCAAATAAAACATATTTTACCCAGGGACGATATTTTTCTTCCATTGAACATAACCACAATAAATTGTGCTCTCTTCTCACATGAATACACACCTGCTTGTTGGACCGTACCGGTATGCATCTTCCCCAACTTTCGGGAAAATTTTGTCGTAACAAATACCTTGAAGAAATACCTTGAAAAAATTCCCCTCCCCAATCTAAAGGCAAGTCCACTCCTATATGGGAGTATCTCCTACTAGTCCTCGTGTGCGAGTTGTATTATTGTTGTATAGTATAACACTAAAAAATGGAAGTACACGTTAAAATTTGTATCGTAATACAGTAATCATTTAATAAAACATATTGAGAACACAAATTGTATAACACCAAATATAATCTGTTTGATGTATATCACTCAATGTGGACAAAATGAAGAAATAATTTTCTTTTTGGTTTTTGAAATTGAATACAATCATAGAAGCTAAAAATCAAATTACATTAATAATAAAAATAACTAATACAAAACATGTGTATTAGTATTTGATTTATCGCTTTGCTATCTCTACCATCCTTTATTCTCACATAATTGTTCTTCTCCAGTATGTTGATAATTAATTAATTATATATATATATAAGTATATATATATATATATATATATATATATATATACATATATACATATATAAGTTGTTATTGATATAATTATTAATTTCAAATATAATATTAATTCTTAATTTACATTACTTTTATGCGAGCAGAACAGGAAAGCCCTATTCTTATTTAATTATACTATAAATTACTAAATCCATTGATATATGTTAAAACTTGCATCGGATTCACTGCCATCATTTTCATTCCTTTGATTTGATTGGCCTAAAAAGTATTCTCCATCTCGCTCAAAAAAAGTAAAGTCCCAAGATACTTGTGACGTCACAGTTGTATATTTGACAAACATACTACCTTCTAGTTTAAAGATGGGAGATGACGTAGTGTAGCTTTCAATATCACTTACAAACCATTCCTTTCTATCAGTGCCCAGAATCATAAATATTTCTCCTCCTACCTGAATGAAGATAAATCATTATTATATGCTAAATTATTTCGTGTGTAAATTAGTAATTTATGCTCGTTTAATATAATGTATGGTCTATTGTTATTAATTGGTATATTCGTTAGTAGGATTACGAAGTTCACATGTTCGAAAGCAGTGGTGGCGCCAGCGGTGGGATGGAGAGCCAGAGCTTCAGAGATGTCTGCTCCCCCCCCCCCCCGGGAAGAAAAACCACAATTCATCGGGGAGAAAAAATGTATATATGTATTTTCTAGAGATTAGTAACCAAAATCGACTAAATAAACCTTTGAAACCACAAATTGTCACCCTGGAACACTTTCAACCGATTTTGAGCGACGCCCGACCACGCCCACTTTTTTTCGTCGGGGACCTTGGACCCCCGTCGGGCAAATCCTGACGCCACCCCAGTTCGAAAGGGAATGCATATCCTTGTACCTACCTTGAATACAGTAACAGTAATAGGACAGTGTTCTGATGGAATTCTTTGGTGAATTTCAAACTCATTGGTGACTTTGTCAAATGTGTAAACTATGGTATTCTGTACGCATTCAAAATTATTAACCGCCACTAGATAAGTCACGCCGTCACTCTCAAACACATCGATTCCAATAGATCCCGCGTCAGTCTCGGCTAGTGAATTCTCTGCAATATTAATGTACAAAACCATAGTTAAAGAGCTAGGCATGTGGATACTAAAAATAAACAAGAGACCGGATAAATTATAATTATATTTACTATAGAAATAATATTATAAACTACACCATAATACTTTTTTTTAATATCGAATAGTCGGGTGTGTCAGTTTTTTCGAAAAGAATTTTATTCTCTATCATTGTATGTATTATTCCCCGCTCTCGTCGCCTAAAATAACTTATTGCTTAGGGAAACAGTTACTAAAGCGTCGTATTTTACTTATGTTACTGTACACACAATATATAGAACATACCTAAATGATTACCTGCACCGGTAGTATATACAGAGTTCCTCCAACCACCACCACATTTCTCTAGCGGATTCCCTCTACAATTAGAATTGCACTCACTGTCTGGTCGTTGGCCGTACTTGGAGTATGTATCACCGCCACAAAAACACTGGCTTGCCGCCTGCAAACCAGCGAACACATGGCCACGATCGTAACAGTATGCTATACACCAATCTATAGTCATAGATCCAGAACTGGTGTATGATGATGAAAGCGCTCTACTACCGCTGTCCACAAAACAGCCTTTGTAAACCCCTGAAGTGAAAGTATAAATATACCGTACCTGTGTTAGTGTAACGAAAGTGCCCTTTTGATAGAACAGCCAGAGGTGGTGACATTGGTAAATAGAATAACCAGAGGTGCAAGGTTTTGAGGCACCTAATCCTCTCCTCGAAGTGTGGGTGCTCTGATGGGGGTGGGGGCCGCATAATAAGGTGATTTTATGTGATGTTTAACTATACTTGACCGTTGCTTTTTTTTGGAGGGGGCGGAAACTGGGGGAGGCGCGAGTAATTTTTGGAGGGGCGCGTTTCCCCCCCTCCCCACCCGCGCACCCCCTAGATACGCTACTGCTCGTTCCGAGTGGATTTGAATGGATTACATATGGGCTACACTGTATAATTCGTTCGAGTACCAAAATGCAGGATAAGTTGTAATTATCTGTTGTGATTCCACTTAAAGTGGTATTGGCCACAGGAGAAATTTAGTACAGTACTGTAGTCCTGTCTATCATTCCTGCGAAGTCGGTGAGGTACACTTGCCGCCAGAACCCTACTCTCTGGCGTCCTGAACAAGCGTACCGCAGGAACATTTACAATATAGGCCTATACGACAGTATAAAAAAATACTTCTTAGTCTTATATAAATGTAAGCAATTTGAATATTCATTAAAATAAATAATGAATGAATGATGGATGGATAAATGAGTGAATGAGTAATTGAATGAATGAATGAATGAAGAATAATAAATGAATGAATGAATAAATAAATAAATGAATGAATGAGTAAATCGATCATTTAATCAATGATTCAATCAATCAATCAATACATTTATTTATTTACATTCATATAATTAGCCAGTGTTCGACGGTGTGTATTCTGTCCTTGATTGTTACTTACTTGAAGCAAAGCCGCCATTGATGAGTGTCCAAACCTTAGAGAAAACAGAATGTCCCTCTATCGATCCTTCATAATTTGATATCACAGCGTACAAACTGTTATCGATTGAGAATAGTTTACAACCGCTACCCCCATTTGTTGCAAGCTGGGAAAAATGGATGAACTGGTTGTTGTCGCTGTTCCATTGATACACTATTGATTCCACGTCTAGGGTTGACCCATAGTAGTTGGCAACCAGCAAGTAATGATCAGCATTAAATTTCAAATAAGATGCGGAGAATGCGCCTTGTGTGCTGATTGATTGGTGCTGCTCAAACAAACCTAAAAGAAATACCTCTTCAACTTAATCTGAGCAACTAATATCCTCTTAAAAACATACAGACGTATTTACAATAGCAATTATAATCTAATCAAGGTTTTCTTGTGTATTTTACTAATAGACTGTAGCAATGTATTTTAACAACAACTGTAAAAAATAGAAAAAAATATATAACACGCAGATGAAACCAAACACATTGTACCGTTTCCAAATAATTTAAGGCACAAGGCCTGAGGACAATAGAGGTGCTCGAGTAAGATTGTCATAGTACCTATAATGGTTGAATCTAATTTTATTACAAAAGTAAGAACATTAATTCATTCGAAGACAGCATCCCATTTGCTAATATCATTGTCTAAAAGCATCGTCCCGCAACCTATGGGTCGCGACCCAATGTATGGGTCGCAGAAAATTTTGGATAGGTCGCATAATCTCTTCACATCGTGAAAATTTTACTTAATACACGAATGAGGACAAACAAAATACAGTAAACGAAAGTTCAATTAAAGTATGGCATGTGCGTCAGTTTCATAGTATCATGTTAAATCTTTAGTTCCATGTTAACAAAAATATAATATCAAAACGTTTGTACTTCAGGTATGACTACTTGAAAGTGTTAGTTTTGTTAATTTCAATGTGTTTGGCTTTCAACTGAAGATTATAACGATTTAATGTATATGTCATCGCATAACCCATAAATATCTGGCAGCAAGTTTAGGAATTTATAATAAATGTTGTAAATCATTAATTAAACAAAAAAATCTTGAACTTATTGAAAAATTTGATACCATACGTGGTCTGGTTAAATGAGTAATTCAAAGTAATGTTGTCATTTTTAGGCGTCTTAAATTGATGTTGTGGGTGGTACAGTAGTATCTTTTAATTGACTGCCAAAAGAATCAAGTGAGTGGTTTCTCTGATACCCTCTATCCCTCGCGCGTATAAATCGACGGACGTGATATATTGGCTTCGGGTTTGATGGGTCGCGTCTGAGTGCTTGAGGCCTATTAGGTCGTGGGCTAAAAAGGTTTGCAGAACGGGGATCTAAAGCTCTGTCCACTATATGGGCCTACTACTATTGTATGCCCATATATAGTCATCATGTACCTTTACATGGTCATGATATGCTATTTCGGCATGTCACGCACTGATGGCTCACGTGTGTATAATCAAATAATGTGATGGTCTGAACAGGACCAGCTTTAAGCCGGGCACTCAATGCGTGCAGACGATCGTTGACCGACGCAATTCAACGGAAAATGCAACTCGACGATCTACGAACAACAGATCGTTTTCAATGACGATCTACTGGGACTGCAACCCACCAACAAGCGAGCAGTCGGCTCGACATAGATAAAATAATAAGGACGGATACGCTTGGCGGCGCGCTCAAAACACATACAAATAGGAAAAACTAAATGTATTTGAAATGTCAACACAATCAAGAAGAGGATGAAACTAAATCAAGGTCATGGCTAAAGGAAAACAAGAAAAAAAATAGGCCTATTTAGAATTTTTTTTTTTTTTTTTTTTTTTTTTTTTTTTTTTTTTTTCTATTTAACCCAATTACTGATGTTTTGTAGTTTTTATCTAAAAGCAGGCCCGTAGCCAGGGTTTTTTTTTATGGTTCAAGCAAACCCCCTCTGTTCTGGACACCCCCCCCCCCCACACCCTCGAATTTCCCGAAGGAGTCCTCGTCCTAATGCACCCAGACTAAGACGGAATTGTTTTACTGCAGACCTTTTTCAAACCTGCTTTTATAGCATTATATAGACCCCTAAAACACAAAAATGTTCTGGCTTCGGGGGTTTCGCCGACCCCACCAGGGCTTCCACCCTGGAACCCACACCCAGAGAACCCCGCATCCCCCTCCCCCAATTTGTTTAGAATAACTTGGTTACGGGCCTGAAAGGATATCTTGTAATTTTCTATTAAAATATGTTGAGTTTGTAACCTGTTTCCGAGTTAATTGTGTAGATGTAAGACGTTGTAATAGTTGATCCACCATGTTGCTTATAATTGGAGACGAACAGATACAGTTTATCATTTATCTCAAAACTTTCCATCTTGAGTGCTACACTTGTGCCAGATAAATCCTGCAGATACTCATAGGAACCAGAGATACTGCTGTACTTATATACTTTCGTTGTAGTTTCTGCAACACCTTCACTGAAAAAAAGTATTGCTTTGATTAATGATTGCAAAAAAGTCTAAGATGAACTGATGGGATTTGACAGACCACAGCATTAACTATTATGCTGCAATGCCAACTTAAGTTTCATCAAACACTTGGATGATATTCTGGTCACGTTAGTTATTCATAATCTAGGTTAGCTTCTTTTGCAGACATACTGCTGCTGGGTCTGGCCTATGCTTCCCTTTTTGTGGGATAAGTTAACCTATAATAGCTGGCGTGTAACCTTTTACATAGGCCTACACATTGGTGGGTCTCAGTGGCATATCCAAGAATTCGAAATAGAGGGGGGGGGGCAGGTTGGGACTTTCAGAGATGTAGGGTGTAGGCCTATACTATACAACTTCAGCCCCACCATGTTTGGAAAATTATGTGATTCTGTCACCTCTGGGCCAGAAATGACACTCTCAGACATTTGAATACAATTTTTTTTTCCCCATTTTCTTAAAATATAATTTGACTGCACCCTTCCACTTGAATCCACCACGGTGTTGGACCTAGGTCTGCTCGTGTACCTGTTTGCTTATAAACTAAATACAAATTATCATGAATTGTAAGTAGGATAATAAACCACTTACTATCCTCCAATGACAAGATAGTGGTTTTTCTTGTGTGAGAATGCAATGTTACTTGCAGATGGACCACCGATGATACTTGTTGTCAAAACAGGTGTGTGTGTAAACGCTGTAAAAAGGCAGTGTCGGGTAATAACATGACAATCTTTGCAATCTTCGTAATCATCATCATCATTTTCATAATTACCATAATCTTCCTCATCTTACCATTCTCATCATCATTATCATCAACATCCTTCACCATCCTCATCAAAAACATCATCATGATCATCGTCTTCATCGATCGTCATCATCAATTAGGATAATTGAATGGAGAACCATGGTCACAGTGGCGTCTCTAGGATATATTTTCTGGGGGCGCTAAGTTGTCCGACAGGGTGGACTTGAGCTCGTAGGCTCGAGCTGGGAGAAGGAGTTTAGAGGGGGTTACCCCCTCCCAAATGAGATTTATTCATAAAAGAATATCAACCCCTAGATGGTCGAAAATGGCACTCTCAGACTGTGACAGACATGTGTTGGCTTGGTGTGGGCCTATTTTTATATATTTTATGGTCTGACTGCCCGACGAGCTCTGTCCGGCGGGAGGGGGCTTGACCTGTCCGGTGGGGAGGGAGATTAAGCCACCCAACTGGCGCCGCCACTGCATGATCATATGATGATCATCATCATCAACCTCAACTTTGTCGTTGTTATCATCGCCGCCATCACCACCATCATCATTATCATATAACTTGTCATCATCAACATCATCATCATCATCATTGCCATCCTTCTTTCTAATCATGATCGTCATCAACATCATCATCATCATGATCTTCATCATAAAATGTCATAAATAAATATCATCCTCATCACTATCAACATCATCATCATTATGTATTTTTGAGTTAAACAGCATTGTTCTCTTCATCATGTTTTCCAATTATTGCTGTATCAGCCTCATCATCGTGACACCAGTTTTTATTTTAGTAGTTAAAATACTAAAATAAAATAATTACCATTTTCACAATATTTTCCATTGAATTGTTTTGAGCATGCGCAGCTATATCCATTGTTTGAACAATCGTTGAAACACGAGGCTCCATTGCGGCACCTACTGCCCTCAATACACGTGCCAACATAACTCTAAGTAAAGTAAAATATTTTCTTAAGATATATTAATAATAATAATTTACGAAGCACTTGTCCTTGATCATTGAGTTATTTTATTTGGTATTTACATAAATACAATGCAAACTAATACAATTATATATTATTCAGTAATCCTTTACATCATAAACGATTAGGAGCAATAAAGCATTAAATTGAGATAGACTACTAACAGTGCACCATCAAATAATTCGAGACCCCTCTAATTTGAGATCACTTTTTTAAAGAACAATTTTCTAACACAACGCTAACCTCTAAATGGGGAACGAACCCCGAGATCATCCCAAATTTTCAGGCCCCTGGGTAGTCTGAATTGGAGGGCGAACTGTAAACAAATATAAAAATCAAGAAAAGCCATATCATAGATTTAAGTACAAGATTACATTATCTATTGACAAAACATTCCGTTAAATCCTTTGGTCAATTTTGTAAAAGAATGCATAAATATTTACAGCTAATTATTAATGTTTAGAACATCGTGTACATAGCCTACTACATTCTAATGAGAATTTACATGCGACCGCCATTTGCGTAGACTGAAGCAATGTAGATGAAGTGCCTTTTCTCATGACACGGCGAAATGCACGTTGACGCGGTTTGGGGATCCAAACCAACAATACCGCTGTGCCAAGCCACTTAAAACACAATACACTAATGGTAATAGGCAAGAGTGCAGACCTGTTTTGAAATGTGGGAGTAGGGGGGAAATTTCGTGACACCATACCCTACCCCAAGATGGCCGGAAATTACACTCTTAATAAAATTCATCATCATCACATCACCATTATTTCTCATGATCGCTAATCAGCGATTTTCAACAACCATGGAGATTCAATAAGTATGTGAGATGCACCATAGAAAATAAAACTTAAAAACATTGTCTTTGATGTAAAACCACTTTAATTTACCAAAAAGCCCACACCCACCTTTGCCCCATCATGATGGGACTGAGGTGTGAACATTGGAGGAAAACCTCTAGATGGCCGGAAATGACTTATAGTGTAATTCGTCATCATCACATCACAATTTGTAGTCAGAATGAAGCACTAACAAATTTCTCATTTTCTTTTTATCAACAATTTTCGGCAATCAGAGATCTAAATTCCCTGTGAGATGTACTATATATATAGTTGGGGTGGATGCAGTATTTGGTGGTAGGGGTGTGTGAGAGTCCACCACCGCAACAGCCCCACCATGGTTGAGGTTGAGGTGGAACATTTTTTAGAATGTGGACCTCCAAGTGCATGGAAATAGCTACCGGTACTATAATGATAATAATAATGTCCATAATGATAGAAATACTATATCAACAATACAATACAACAATTTTTCTTAATACAATTTTGGGGGTGCGTTCGCACCCCCTGCATCCGCCCTAGCATATAAAATAAAAGTTAGAAACATTGTCTTTGATATAGGCCTATTTACTTTACTTTACCTCTTCAAAGACGTGAGTGAGCGAATCAAGTAAATATTGTAATCCGTTTCTAAGGATTACTCGGTACAAATTAGTAATCCGTTTGTATTTTACTATTTTGATTTTACAAATTAATATTTGTTTGAGCGGATTTCTAATTCGTTTGTACCGATTAGTAATCTGTTCGTATTAATAATTAGTTCTGACGGATTACTAATTTGTTTTACTGGTTATTAATTGGTTTGTATGGATTAGTAATCCGCTTGTATGGATTACTAATTCATTTGTAATTACTTATTGGTTTGTACAGATTTTTAATTAGTATCAAACGGATTACTAATACGTAGAATCAAATGTGTAGTAATCCGTACGAACGAAGTTATCCATAAGAACGAATGAATGATCCATATAAACGATTTAGCAATGGTACAAGCGGATTATTTATCGGTAAAAAGGAATTAGTAAATGCGTATCAACGTATTACAATATACACTTGATCGACACTACGTATAAAAAAAAAAAAAAAAAAAAAAAAAAAAAAAAAAAAAAAAAAAAAAAAAAAAAAAAAACCTAATGAAAGACTAAACGGAAAGAAAACTCAGTTGCCACGGTAAACGTCAGTAAAAATGCGGCTACCAAACATAGTGATAGTTAATTGTTTTATTTCGGTAGAAAACGTTCTTATAATTAAATCAGTTTTATTACAATATGTCGAACTATGAATACTACCTCAGTGATATCTTTCTGTCGCAAGTCATAAAACCAGACGCCGGGTCCCGATTGCAGTAGTTCTGGTCCCGTTTCACTATCATGATCAAACATGGAACACGATTGAGAACCCTCAGCGTAAGTGAAAGCAACACAACTGGCATTCTGTCGACACATCTGCATACATTCGTATCTGGATTTATTCTGATAACTATTCATTTCGTTCATCATTGTGGTGTTGGAACGTCCGTAGAAGTGAGAAGAGGATAGCATATCGATAGGCTTGACCTCGCATTCTATTTGGCCATTACTGGTGGACATCATAAGTATCCCGACAATCGCCAGTACTACTTTAAAGCTTGAAGCCATTGCTATTAACATTACTATTTTAAATGTTGTGTACTAATTTGCCAAGGCAATGAAAATATAATGATCTAGAAAACCGCAAAACGATCGTTGCGATGCATGATTGCGCAAATTCAATCGATTAGAGCTTTAAATAAAGAAAACCCAACTAAAATTATTTATTTATAGTTCCAATTAATGCATAATTTGTTCGATTACACAAGATCAATAACGTAATTGACAGGTTCGTGATGTCTGTGATCATGTGTTTAAACAGCCTAAACGTCTTCAATCATCCTCATATGAATGATCACTCGATTAATAATCAATACTTAAAGCGCACGGCAGCAACACTATATGCAGTTTTTCAAAATATCTGCAATGAAGAATAGTATTTAAGACATGCGATCGCTTTGCCCCCTGGAACCCACGAATATTTGACGAATTATGGCGATTTTTTATTACTTACCGTATTTGATAGGCATCGAGCTACTATAATATGACTTCATCATGTAGAGGCTATGTTTTCTAATGTCAACATTTTGAATAAAAGAAGTACAAAGAGTAGGCCTATGCCATGTAACCATCTAATTTATTTTCAAATCCTCATTCTGGAAAGTGAGGAAATCTACGATTTTGAAAATTTTGCATGAAATCTGTCAACCACGCTGTCAGGGTCGAGGCTGCTTCCCCTATCACGTTGTATTCCAAGCATGCATCATGAGGCTATTTAAACGAGCATTTGTCATAACAGAATGCAAATTATTTTCAATTAGTCTCATTGAATTATTATTATTATTATTATTATTATTATTATTATTATTATTATTATTATTATTATTATTATTATTATTATTAATATTATTATTATTATTATTATTATTATTATTATTATTATTATTATTGTTGTTATTATTATTATTAATTGCATGGAAGTTATTCTTTAACTCTGTCATGATAATAAGAAAAAGAGCGTAAGTTACCTTTCAGAGTTGTAGTTTAATTTCTGGGAGCTTTCGATTTCATCCCACGAAAATCAACGCTGACCTGTCAGTTAACCGCCAGATTCAAACGGTTGACGAAGATGACAGGATGTCATCGAAAGCCATCTAGGCCGCATGTGGCGCCACCACTGTGGTATACAAAACAATAAAAACATCTCAGGCGATCCAAGTTAATAAATACATTCAAGAAATTAAAATAATACGAACAACTATTTTTGATACTTATTTCTTATTAAAAAATGTATTTAAAATAAAGTGATACTATAAATGTAATTACATTTGCAAATGAACAGCTAAATGTTCTCTTTTGCGTTTAAAAAATTCAAATAGGCTTACACACATTAATCATAGAACTTTCTAAAATTACGGTAATGAATGGTTTAAAGCAAACAAACTTGTTTTAAACATGGGTAAAACTAACAATATTATATATTGACCACGGTGTAAAAGAATAATAATTAAGAGTACTTATTTTGACGCCTGACATAGCCTGTTCCAGGCCCTAATTTTGGGTTATTCACTCTTTATTGGACTTAGTGTCGCGCCATACCTAATTTGATTGGCGTCCCATACTCGATTTCTTTTTTTCCGAAATTAACTTTCTCGTTGGTGGCGCTGCCCAGAATGAGAAAAATAATAAAAAATAAGACTTGACTTGTGGCAAGTCTACGCCTCACAGTGCTGATCAGATTGTGCTGGGATTGGGTATTATTCTACGCATTTCCTGGCAAGTGAAAACTACAATGGCGCTGTCCAGGGGTTGGTAGTTTTTTCTACATTCTATCATTTCAAATATGGATGCTTTTACTATATAAATAGTAAAGAGTTAAAGAAAAATGCTGTAAAATAAAGTATGATAATAGAATGTGAATATTAGTTTATATCTACTGGCTAGGTAGCTTATTAATATTAAGCCAATCTTTGCGTAGGTAAGCTTAGGCCTAGCACACCTAGGCCCTAGGCCTATTCGGCCCCATATATGACGCCGCCTTAGGCCTAGCGTAGCCTAGCCTAGTAGGCCGGACTAGACCTAGACCTTTTTAAGTAGCAGGCTAGCTATGTAGGAGACCAACACCGGGCAGGTCTGATCGGTAGTACTGCAGACCTAAGCCTAACTTCTAAAAAACAATATATTTAAAGGAAGTGGATATATTTACGTCGCCGTAAAAAAATCAGTAAACGATATATTTACGTAAATGAAACAACGCATGCGCAGTCATACTTTAATAAACATGCATTTTCAGCACTGCGGGGCCGCCAAGCCGCGGGCGCAGGGAATTCCCCCAAGTTCACCAAGGCACTGCTTAATTTATAATTTTGTTTTTTTACTTTTTATTAAACGTAATTTAATTTTCTACAACAGCACAGTACATAGTTTAATCACTAAATAAATTATTAAATCATTGTGTTAACTTTTCAAATAAAAGTGATAATATGAGCGGGTCGAGCAGAGCCCCAATCGATCGCGAAGAACAGGAAGACCACGTTTGGAGAGCACATGATCCTCTCTACAAGTACAAAGTACTGCGCTATGAAGCAAGAAGTAAACAACGAATAATAATATGCCTGTGTTTTCTGTAAGATATTTAATCATCACGAAAAAAGTGAGACCATGGAGATGTAAAAAATACATAAAATACATCTCCCTGGTAAGACAAAACAAATATTTTTAATGTTTTATTCTAACATATTTTCCCATGTAGTCTGATCACTAACAAAACAACATTGGCATGCTGTGCATGCATCTACGAAGTATGGATGCAAAACGTGGAATAAAGAGCCCCGCTCGACGTTGTGGTCATGATGTGAGAAAGTGAAACGAATACTTCTAGCTCATTATCACAATTCAATTATTTTATTTAATTGAAATACATAGGTTACTACTGTAGTAAATTTAATTACGTTTAGTAAGAACGGTAAAATGATAATTTAAATGCTGTACCTATCCGCCAGTCTAAACTGTTTACAAAAATTCATACAACCAATTTGGGGATTCCCCATGTGCGTTGATTTGCCGTCGATTCGATCGTGTGTTGTTCAATGGCTTTTTAAAGAGCAGAAACCATTTGTTTCTACAAGAAAAATTGTTGTGTCAAGTTAATGTATTTTAACGTGACTTGAAGATTTGCTTTTCGTGCACTGTGGATTCATGGTACAGCATTCAGCAAAAGGCCGATGTTAATTTGGAGTTTGATTAACGTACATTTAACATGAATCGATAAATTTACGGGACCGATAATGCAAGTTTATTAAAGTATGACTGCGCATGCGTTTCATTTACGTAAATATATCGTTTACTGATTTGTTTATGGCGACGTAAATATATCCACTTCCATATTTAAATTACATGGCTATTTCTAAATTTGCCTAGGCTAGCCTAGGCCTGTCTTAATCATAAATGTATGCTTGATGTATTTATTTAAAAAGTGTTCACGTTTTGCGCATGTTTTTCTTAAGCAATCTTCTGTACCGGTGGGTGGCTACAGCAGAGTACACTACGACTAGCTAGGTGCCAGAAAGTTATTTTAAGTAAGGTCTGCGCGAGTATCAGAATATATCCTACATATAAAAGTTTGGCCTAGAAATCCGTCCACTCATTTCCGAAAATAAGGGCTGATATTCTTCCACGTAGATTTTGCCGAAAATTAGGCTTTGACATAATTTTAATTTTGTGACCAAATGTACAATATGCAGTACACCTAATTACGATTTGATTACAAATTTTTTTTTTAGAAGCCTCACTAATTTAAAATGAATAGAAAAAAAGAATATTATTTTTTTGCAAATTTTGCTGGCACTCGCAGACTTGATGAACTGTAGATATTTTTCAATTTTGTTACTACAGTATATAAATAAATACAGTAAAATATAAAATTATACATAAATATATTATTTACCACACAGGAATATTTGTTGTAGCTGCCAAGCGAACTCCATTTGGTGCATTTGGAGGAAAGTTGAAAGGTCATACAGGAACTGACCTTTGTGAAGTCGCAGCAAAGGCAGCTCTTGCATCAGGGGCCATCAAGCCAGAATGGATTGACTCAACAATTGTTGGAAATGTTGCTCAAGTATGTGAACCTAGGTCATATTAAATAATTATATAAAAATAAAGACTTTTTGATTTTGTTTAATGTTCTCTTTCTCAACAAATAATTAAATGGACGAATTATAATAATTTTTAATCATTTTGTTTAGTTACATTTTGGTTTAATTTCAGACAGCCCCTGATGCTGCCTACATATCACGGCATGTTGCACTCCGATGTGGTGTTCCTGACTCCAAACCCGCTTACACTGTTAACAGACTTTGTGGTTCTGGATTCCAGTCAATTGTCAATGGAGCCCAGGTAAGAGTGCAAAAATGCACTGGCTTAGGAGGTTAAGTATGATACTTAATGTATATTTCAACTGCCCTAGGGAATCAAATTGTACTGTAAAACCTGCGTGATAAGATTTAAGCATCTCTCGGAGTCAATGGCCTTGTTTACACGACAGGAGATCACTGTGATGATCGCGTTTATCTGTTGATAAAGGTGTTAAGTGGCTGTGTGAACGGATTTAGTAACTCCGCATAACGGATCAGTAACCACGATGATTTACGCAGTTACCTCTGCATAGTAGCAGTGTTAACATAGATCATCAGCATGGTCTTTATGCAAATTAGCTGTTCTTTGACCTGTGTGAGTCATTGCTATAAGTGACTGTTGATAAACAGCCTGAACACCATTATTATTATTTAAAAAAATTATGATTTTATCAATTACATACATTTTAAAACTTTTTTTAACAAAGGGATTAAAAAAAAGCAACAATGTGTGCATTTTTTTCAGGTCAGTTTTAATCACGTGACTTGGTGGTACAACCGATAATTTTTTGATCGTGTAGACGTGCGACTGGAGATCATCGGTGTTACTTATCTGATAGCAAACGACTGTATAAATAAGGCTAATGACCTAGCCTTTGTGTATCAAGTTCATTAAATTTACTTCAGGAAGGCCAAAAGAGATTTCCCTGATCTGTATTTGTCTGCCTATTTTACTATTACAGTATATATATTTTATTATAGGAGATACAATGTGGAGATTCTGAGGTCGTGCTAACAGGTGGTGCTGAGAATATGAGTCAGGCACCTTACATTCTGAGGGATGTAAGGCTTGGAACAAGGCTAGGAACAGACCTTAAGGTAAATAGATGTTTTGTATACTCTATATTCTCAACCCCTAAGTTTGAGACAGTTTTTGAAATATTTTTGTATACCGGGTGTATAAGGCAACCCGTTTCACCTTTGAAATTTCTACTTTTTGCGGCTTTTTATGATCTTGACACTGCATCTAGCTGGTTAAAAACAGAGCTGAATGTAGGGCTAATCTTCCAAATAGTACTATATATTTTATGGGCTTATGTCTTTCCTGAAGAGTGTACTGTGTTCTTTAACCTGCACATGGGCCATAATGCACACAGGAACAACGGCTTAAACATACCATCTAAAAGACGGTGCACTATCGTAACTTGCATTTCAGCCCTCCAGCTGAAATACAGTTAAACTTGGCTAACTCAACTTTGCCTAACTCAAATAATTTCCATGTCGATCATACTGTACATACAAAATTAGCAAATTATCTATTAACAAACTAAGTCAAATTTTATGTTAAGTCAAACAATTTTTCAATGCCATTTTGGATTTGACTTAAGCAAGTTGAACTAATGACCAAGAGATTTCCACACAGTGGCTAATACTAGTTTAGCAGACTGAGCTTTAATTTTCTAATCCCAGGGACCCCAGATATTTATATCAGCCCCTGCCGGTCAGAGTGCACGTCTAGTTCATACCAGGGGTTGACCCCAAACATTGAGGTAACCTGTTGCTGTTCTCGAAAGATGTCATGGGTTATTTTAAAGTGCACACATTTTGTTAGTGTACAATAGGCCTATGGTTTATACATGTAGTCCTTATCCCACCTAAACTAGAGTTCATGTAAGGCTCTGATTTACGATAGACCTGCTATAGATAGTGTATATACATATAATACCTTAGATATTTGTTAAAAATTATATATTTTATATTGTAATATTGTGAAAGAAATAAATGTTGATTTGATTAACCTCACGGCCACTCTACTAGTAATGTAGAGCTCCATAGAAATACAAACAAATTATACCGTACAAAGATTATGACAATCATGAAATATTTGTTTAACACTGTTAAAACAAGCAATACTGTAGCCAAGTATTTATTAATATGATTTCTACATATAGCTTGAGGATTCTTTGTGGGCAACATTAACTGATATGCATATCAAAACGCCGATGGGAATAACAGCCGAGACACTAGGAAAGAAGTATGGTGTTACCAGGCAAGACTGTGATGAATTTGCTCTGAAATCCCAGCAGCGCTGGAAAGCAGGTAAAACTCTACTTGCTCCTCAAATTATTTCCCATTTTGGGAACCACTGCATTGTCTATATGCTGTATGAATACAGTATACTGTACATAATGTTTTTTATGTACTGTATGTAAACATTCAAATGCAGTGCACATGGGCATTCAGACGGGCATGTGGTTTAGTGCTTGACACTGAGCTCTGTTTTGATGTGTATCAACGTAAGAAATATTGTAATTGACTTGATATATGTAATGCTCAATTGTGTGAGTTACACTGAGTGTGAAGACAAGAAGACACAAAAAAAGATGGTTCTGAAGTTTGGTGTTTTGTTATGCTTGGGCATGTCGTTGATCACTATTTACGATTTCGATTTTAAGTAATGCTAAACGAAGTACATCATAAAATACAAAAGTCATTTGTAGTGACAGGCCTTGAAACTCACCAGTGGTGGCATCAGGAATGGGCCACCTGTGCCCAGGCCTAGCTGTCGGAGGAAAAATGGCTGTGGTTCATCTTTTTAGGGAACAATGCCGGTGGGACACACCAATTAAGTTACAAGTGCCTCTATCATTTCCTAATAGCTCAAGATGCAGAAAGATTCAGTGATGAGATGGCCCCAATCCAGATGACCATAAAAAAGAAAACAGTGATTATTGACACGGATGAGCATCCTCGGCCCGAGAGCACCATAGAGAGTCTAGAAAAGTTACCTCCAGTGTTCATGAAAGACGGCCTTGTGTCTGCCGGCAATGCTTCAGTAAGGCAACCATACTTGTGTTATTGGTGAAATGTGAAAGTATAGAGAAAAATAAGTAAATTATAAGTATAATGTGCAGTATGCAGTATGTAAATATACCATTATTATTACAGTATATTATTTATAATGTCACTATATAAGCTTTTTTGGGGGGGGGGTGCTATATGGTCAAGCATTTCTAAACAAAATTTCTTTTATTCCTGGCCGTCGACCAAGGCTTCTTCGTCGCTCCCCCATGTCACCAAATTTCTGGCGCAACCGTTGCTCTGTGCTTCTGACGTTGCATGCCCCCCCACCCCAGATTTTTCTACAATAACATAAAAATTTTGTAGTACTTGGTGTTGAATATAAATGAACATACATCTTTGCACTAGTTCAAATTTCCATGTATGGATGAGTAAAGTTTTTCCTTGTACCTTGGTTAGGGTATTTCAGATGGTGCAGCAGCTGTCATATTAGCCAGTGAGGATGCTGTGAACAAGTACAAACTTACACCACTAGCCCGGCTTGTTAGCTACCATGTGTCCGGATGCGATCCAAACATAATGGGCATCGGGCCTGCTCCAGCTGCCCGAGAAGCCCTGGATAAAGCCGGCCTGACAGTGGGTGATATGGATCTATTTGAAGTAAATGAAGCGTTTGCTGCTCAGTACCTTGCTGTTGAGAAAGAACTAGGCCTTAACCCAGATAAAACAAACAGCAACGGCGGCGCGATTGCTATGGGCCACCCAGTTGGTGCATCAGGTGGCCGAATCACAGCACATATAACACATGAGATCAGGTTAGTGCTGTCCTCACTCCTTGTTTAACTATGTTAATTTCAGTTGTTAAGGTTTTGCACCTCCTTACTTGAGGTGGCGCCACCGCACCATTGCGCACCTAAACTGCTATCGAGGGGTGTGAAAAATAGCTCGCCTCGCATTTCAAAATAACTCTCCTCCACAGCCCTCGAAATGCTGACGCAATTTTTGCTGACCACTTAAAAGATGCTAGGCCTAAGCTGAAAAACGTCTTGTTTTGTTTACAATGTACGAACATACAGTTAATAAACAATGATTTCCAGACGAAATAACGCAATAATCACATTGCTGTCTGGGATTGCACAACACCCTGTGAATAAACCGTGCGTACTGCTGCCAGAAGTTATCTTTTGATTTAAAACGACACACCAGAAAACGTTATATTTACATTTAGTGCATTATTGCTCATTAAAAATCGATTGGAATCAACTTGAAATGACGGAACTCAAATCAAGTTTCTACGATGGCGGACTCTTTTTTAGTAGACGTTTATTCGGATTTGGATGTTGATGGATTCATCAGTGTAAATTACAAATGCTAAGCTTCACTTATTCTTCAAACAAGATACAGTACTTTTGAGAAACATGTTGCTAATTTAATTACAGAGGAAATTTGTAAAATTTATTTAGATTTAATTTATAAATATAGGCGAAATACACTGAGTTTCACGCAATGAAACTTTGGGCAATCTGACATCATCACAGCCAAGCCATGTCTCCCTGCGCCATCCCGCAAAATAATCACTCGCCTGAAAATTAGGGTGAGTGTTTTATTGCTCGCCTGCGATTTTCAAATGACAAGTACTGTACCAGAGTCCTGCATACTGATGCTCAAAATCGGCAACAATTGCGGTTGTTCATTGATTGCTTGTTGTGGCTAAAAATCACTATAAATATAGCACTTTTACTTTCAACAGGACTATATATCTATATACATTATGGTTACTGTATATGTAAATATTGCATTACACCTGTTGGTCTATTGCAAAGTTATTAATGATATACACATATACATTGTTTAGTCCATTTAAATCTTTATCAACTTGTTTAATTATGTATATTTTTATTTCAACAGACGCACTGGAGGGCGCTATGCATTAGGTTCTGCATGTATCGGCGGTGGACAAGGAATTGCGGTTATCCTTGAAAAAATTTAATCTCTAGGAAGAATTGAAAAAAGTTTAAAAAGAATAAATAATATAAAAATGTTAATGTACTGTATATGCATAATAAACACAGATTCATAATGAGACTAAATATGTGTTGCATTTTGTTTTACTTAGACAATATAAATATTTATATATCTTGTAAACATTGTCAGCATATCTTTCATATTCAATATTAATGGTAATAATTTGTAACATCTTGGTACAATGAAAGCTAGCAAATCTTACATATTATATAATAAATAGTATTGCTTTTATGATTATTAAACATCCGTACTGGAAGACTGCAAATTCACCAGATTCACCCTACAGACTATTTGTAGATTAGAGAGATGAAATGTTCAGCCATAATGCTCAAGACAATGGACCTTTCTCCCAAGCCCAGCCCTTGAATATTATTGCTATTAAAACATACGCATGCATGTATTGAAAACTCCATTATACTCTAGAACATAATGAGAGTAGAAAGAAAAGAACTTTGTGCGCTAATTACACTGACTGATAAAACAACATATCAACAAAATCTCACACACTCGTGGACTAACTACATATGTTGGTGTATTGATTGCACACATAAAACTTTTTTTTTTTCTATGTATGTGAATTTAATTTATCAAAACATTAATAAAAATGGGCAAGGGAGGAGGGCGCTGTTGCCAACTACTGTATAAAACTGCATGAAGCATTCAGTGTACTGTACTTATAGAATAATCTGTGGAATGATCTTAAATTAATTTATTAAAAACCTCGGTCGTCATAGTTCTTCCTTCGCTGCCTTTTTACTACCTTTCTTAAACTTTTCGGCATTTAGATCAGCTGGGTTTGGTCGTGTTTGGCGTTGCGGTTTAGGATTATCGTCTTCTTGGCGTTTCTTATTACCGATACTGTCAGCTTTCTTACCCTTTGGTGGCGTCTGTGTGTGCTTGGTACCAACTGACTGAGCACATCGGAAACTTAGGTTGTCTGAGCCGGAATCTGCAGTATTACCCATTCTAAAAAAATAAATTAAGAATTAATAGTTGACATGCAGATACTACATGTACCCCAAGGTGATAGGGGTGCCTGCCAAGATAAATGATGATGCTTATATTCCTTATTTGGATAAATGGGCGGACTGAAATAAACAATTTAACCAATCACAATCTAGTTAGGCATGGCTAAAAAATAGCCCTCCCTAATAAAACAGGCTTAAAATATTTAGAATAGATCCACGGTAGGACCAGTGGGCAATAGCAAAAACAGTTGAGCTTAGGCTCGATGGCATACATTACAAACACACCACTACATTCTAGGAGGATGTCCCCGGCCTCGGGAGTCTAGTAGTAGTTGGCCTATTTTTAATGATGTTCTACCTTAGGGTTAATCTGTAAGTACGGTTATCAATCCATAGTCATTCAGCAGGCCAGAACTAATATTAATTGTTTTAATTCAAGTAGGTAGGCAGAAGGGAAATCCACATCTTTAATTTTGAAAATTTGTTTTATTTATGCATGAATTAAGCCAATCATGTGATTTACAAAATCAGTCATGCATACGATATCCCACATCGTACGCATGAATGATCAGGCATTGTTTGCCCAGGCTCTGTCAATTTATGCTACCAAAAACAGGACAAATATTTATTTTTATTAAGTTTACACTTATATACCTTGTTGTGACACGGACAAGGTGATTGGATGAGCCATCTTTAGTATCAAGATAGGATCCTCCACGTAAAACAAACTGCTTTTCACCTCGAGCTGGACCAAAGGTAGATGATGTCCATTCCCAGGTATTGCCAACCATATCGAACATTCCTGAGAGTATATTGAAATATCAATTGAATGTATATAATTATAATACATTATCACTACTACTACTATAGTTATAATTGGCATTAATATTCTACTATCATGATAAGGATACAGGCCTTACTGTTACTGTAGTGACATTTTTTATCTACTTTTCACTGCCTATAGCATAGCAAAAATTAACAAAAACAAAAGTACAATTTAAAAAAAAAAAAAATCTCACCATAATCATTTTGTGCTGGAAATGCATCGACAGGACCAACTCCATGGTAACCATCTTCCTCATCATTTTCATTAGGAAATGCACCCTTTGATAGTAAGAAGGAAGAAGTGATATACTCTATTGACTTCCAATGAAACAAAGTAATTCAATGGTGGATCCAGTAATTTGAAATAGAAGGGGCCTGCATAGGCAAGTTTACAGATAGAGGGTCCAGAATACCTCAGCCACACCAAGGGGTTAAAAATGTTATGTTTAGTTGGCTCTCTTGGACTTAATTTTAATGTAATTTTCTTTCCCACCTGTCTGTTAAAATTCTCAAAATATTTTTTTATTCACAGGTACATTATTCAATATATTTTTTCAAGAAAAACAATTTCCAAAAAAAAAAAATTAAGAGTAGTTCCTGGGAAGATTATAGGAGGAGGGGGTAAGCCCTTAATACATGTATGTGCTCTCCGCAATTCTATGCCTATCAAATAGGGGCATTGATGTTCAGTAAAAGGAAACATAAGAAGTATTCACTTTTGAAAGAAGAGTCCTACTTGTTACTATGGCTGTTATATAATTCGCACGCAGATGCGCTATCTTTAGTTAACGATGTCTGATATAATTAAATAGTAATCACTTGCAAGAGGGCGCCGTATGCTGCATTATTACAGAAGAGAACACTATCATCATTTTTTTCTTCTCTGTTGCTTCTTTTGATTTACAGATACAGATCTTTTATCTTCTATCTACAATCGTGTGAAATCTACGTTACCTGCCATATATTCATCCTATCCTCTTCCAACTGGTTGCCCCACGGATACTTCTTGCCCACTAGCCCACCTCGGGCTGCCACTTCCCATTCCTTCTCTGACGGCAGCCTCCATCCCCTCCACTGACAGTATGCCTTTGCATCATTGTAACTGACATGGACTACAGGGTAGTGGAGTCGTGCGCTAATGCTCGATTTTTTACCTTCTGGCTGCAAGAAAGATGGTAAAAAATATATACTGTATTTGGCCAGCAGTTGAAAGGCTAACAATTGCAAGATCCACATCCATGAAAAAATAACAAAAAAAAAAAAGCGGGGAGGGGGGGTACAGACAGTGTGACCTCACCATCTCCCCCCCCCCAACTCCCCTTAAATTGTATTAAGAAAAGTAACTGTATTGTATTGTTAAAAAATTATTTTTATCATTACAAACATAGTACCGGTAAGATTTTTAAAGTATGAGAGTGCAATATCCGGGCACCTACATGTCCATCACCACCCTAAATTGTATTAAGAAAAATTATTGCTGTATTTTATTGTTTAAAAATTATTTTTATCATTACGAACATAGTACCGGTAATATTTTTAAAGTATAAGAGTGCAATTTCCCGGCACCTAAATGTCCACATTCTCAAAACCTCAGTCTCAAACATGTTGGGGATGAAGTGATGTGAACTCTCGTGCACCCTCTACTGCCAAATCCTGTATCCGCCCCAGAAAAGGGTAAAAAACGAATACCATAATTTTATTTATTTATTGCCTTAGGACTGGAATTACAATAGATATACAGTATGCATATTTGATCAGTATAATTACCTGTCTCCAGTATGCATTTGGGACAGGCACCCACCATGGAACATTCTGGAAGTAAAATTTATTTTATATGTTAGTATACACCAGCCAAAATCAAAACAGCAAATATATATACTGTATTGTAATACATTATCACTGAAAACCAATTTAGTTATTCTCTAGTATACTACTGTATATTATCCTTTTTCAATACATTACTACACAATAAAGCTTTATGCTTGCCATTTGGAATAACAACAATTATGTTTACTGAAAGTTTCTATTAGCTACATATTCACATTTGTCCACTACAAATAATAGCAATTAATTCATGTATAAATAACAACATCGTGTTCTACTTACTGGTATACGTTCTTCAATTTCATTTTTTATTTCTGCTGGTACAAACGCATCAAATACAAAACTCCATTTAAAATCCTCAGCTTCCGTTTTAAACTTTTTTGCTCGTACAAATTTTCTATAAAATGTATTCAAAACATTATCAGAAATATATTGAATATGTTGTAACAATTGACATGGTATTCAATTTTACATGACCTGTTGACCAATTAAAAAACAATATTATACCAATCAAGGGCTGCTAGTGTATTCAAAAAAGTTTTTTGCAACGTTCTTGATATAGTGGAATGGGCAAGCATATCGCGCTTGTTTACAGAGTGGTGCTTAAATGTCTTTTTTGTTTTTCTCCCTTGTGCTCACTAATGCCAGACGCGAGTCAAGCCTAGTGTGAGTTTTATGAGCTGCTACTCTGTGAAGATTAAACAAAACAAAAAAAAATTCTTTACGATAAGAGACAACTTACTAAGCCCCTTCACCTCTTTAGTCTGCCCCATTACCTGAATGCTGCATTGGTTACTGGGTACTTGCTAATTTTGAATGGTTTCACTGGTGTCTTCTTCTGAGGTGATTCGCCTGCTTTAGGGTCGGCATCAGCAGAACCTAATAGAAAATCACCGCCCTCAATATCCACCATTTCTTCGTAATGATCATACTCAGGGTCTGTATGGAGAGAATACAATCAATCAATCCATCAAGCAGTCAGTCTTGACTAAATTAATCAGTAAGATAATCTTAAATGATTACAAACTTCGAGCGGCACACTTACTTACCTTAATCGATGTTTGGTTCAAGTTTAACGTATTTGTTTTTGGTCTATTTGGCCTTCTTAATTAGTCATCATAAAATGCATTTCAGTGCTGCCATATTTTATGAATTTTAAATGTTTTTTTAATAAACAAATACTGGAAATATATAATCAATTATTTATGTTAAAATCACAATTTTAACAACTGCTCACTAAAAACAAACTTGTTTTTTGGGGGTTTTTTTCAGAAAATTTTATATACCGGTAAAGCAACATTTTGTATTGCAAAAACAAAAAATACATCCCAGAAGGGTAGTTGATTATAAGTTCTTCACTCATATTATTAGTTTTTATTTGATAGTTATTTTTGGACAATAATTGCGCTTTTTTGGTCAAAAATATAGTAAAACAAATTAAATCAATTGTTTTAGAAATATTTAAAAAATAATCTCTCAGCTTATATTTTATTCATGCTATTTTTTCGGTACTTACAATTATATAAATGCTCTATATTAAACAAAAGTCTTCCAATTTTTTGGTGGATTACAAATTAAAACAAAAAAACAAAAAGCAATTGTATCTTAATGAACTGCAGTCCCTCTCTATAAATGTGATGTAATGTTTTCATGTCTTTGTAGAGGTTTTTTTTTTACTCAATACATTTAAATGATCCAAAAATCGAAAAAAAATGTTATCCTGTATTCATTTACAGTTAAATGCACATATTTATTTGACTCCACATTCTCTCTTAATTTGCATGCACCATTCATGCCACATGGCAACTATTTAAGATGCTTTTAGAAGCCATATAAAAAAACTACTGTACTTTGGCATTTCACAGATGTTTAGATTGCCACTATTAAATACTTAACTATAATAGTATATTTAAACTTTATCCATTAAACTATTCTTTTGTCCACCAGACAGATGTTGCACTTTTGCAGTTTACTAGCTATTTGCATTTCATGTGCTTTGTGTGTACACACGTGCAGATTGATCTCATGAAATACTGCGTAATTCCACAGACCATTTATCCTATGCCAGCGGTGGTGGCATATCAGCACTGGTCAAAAGGGTCAGAGGGGAAATTTCTCCGTCGGCCAATGCCATATGACAAGATCGTCAAACTAAAAATTTAATTTTGCCAATTCAATAAAAATGATACGTGGTTCCCACTCCCTAAAGTCTAAAGCACAATTTTATACCAAAAAATCTCTCCCTATGAAGCAACGCAGAAAGTGGTTTTTTTGACTGCCCTGCCCTGCCTCCACTATGCCTCACCCACAGCTGTTGTATGCTGCATTGATTGTTCCATAGTTATTGCATTACATACCAACTAGCCAATCAACAGCCAGTGCCAGGATTACTTCAACCTGTTGCACAAAGTACACTCACTGTTAACGATTCAAACTCGTTAAGTCTTACTTAAACCATAAAGATGTTTACGTTGCATTCAACAATTGTGTTTTTGTGAATTGGAATCTGCACATTTGATTGTCTAATTTTGCATTTTATTTTATTCATAATAATTTTATTTTTTCTAGAGAGGTCGGCATTGTTGATCCCTGCCACAGATGGTGAAATATTGGATTTGATTTTAATTTATTAGGTTCCAATATAATAGATACAGATAAAATACAATTTTATAAAAGCTGCAGGAACAAGATACATATTAACACAGAGAGTAAAGCCTTGAAAAACAGGAGAAAAACTTTGATTAGATAACATTTAGAAAAACAAATAACATGAAAAACAGAGGAAACATAGCCCTTAAACGATGAAGTAACACAATTGTATTCCCAGTTGGATGTTTTTTCCTTGTTTGTAAATAAAAATATTTGGTATGATATGATATGCATGTGCATTCAATTCAATTTTATACATTAAATGGCAGCATAAGCTGAATTGCATAAAATAATACATTCATTAAAACAAAGTTAAAACTTACAAAAATACATCACATTTGTTAACTATGTATTAACGAAAGTATCTAAATTATAACCTTTAATAATTAATTTTAGTATAAAAATAATATCAATATAAAATTGAAACTATTAAGATCCATATTTATTTTAATTGCAGTAAAATTAAAATGATGTTTCAATAATAATAATTTGAACTATTAGCCTTGTAGTATATTTAATCTATATTTTATAAGTTTGCTATGAGACAATAATAAAGACAAATTTTAACTAATTTACAGATTTCCAATCTTAGCCGCTTTAAATTTACTCGTTCTTTTTTTTTATTTCTTGTTATTCAGTGAAGCAACGATAACCATCGCATACCCTGTCTCTTATACACATCTAGATGTGTATAAGAGACAGCCATAAATAAGCCCTCTGACTGAATATTATTTCAATAATGATAATTAGTGTTGATAATGACAAATTATTAAACAGTCGTAGCCAAAAAGAGGCCAAGTAGAGCATCTTATTCAAATATTAAAAAGAATTAAAATCGTGTACATTACACCCATACACCGCAACGCTCGAGTTTCAAAATACGGATTACTACCTGTACTGAACCATGTACTGAACTTTCTGTGTAAATTGAGGGCGCAATTGAAAATGATAGTGCTCAGGGGAAATTTGATTGGCTGAATCTATGGAAGCCATCTTGGAAGGTACACACACACAGCTATGCGTATTTCGACCATCGAATACATTGCTGTTAGCGCTCTAGTATTCCTATTATATCTCTATGGTTCAACCTGTAGTGGACATTTCCGCTAAGCTCCGCCCCTTGAATATTTTTGCTAAGGTCCCACAAAACGGCAGTGATGGTTAAAACATACGCGAACACGTGTGTTTGTAAGACGCGCGTGCATTCCTAGCGTTGTTCTGATTGGTTAGTTGTTAAGTTTGATTGACACTCCGGAAAGGTCTATTGGCCGGGTGCTTACTCTGTTGGATGTTTGAATAAAATACAAAATACAAAAGTTATTGTCGGTCCACATCGAATAATAAATAAAATATGATTAAGAATGATTTTAGAAACTATATTCAAGATCAATTGTACCACGCTAGACACAATAAGGGAGTTCCCCCACCTCACAGTTTTCTCAACACGATTAGCAATTGATTTTTTGTGGTTTCAGAGAACTGCTATCGTATCCGAACATGTTTTCATTTTTGTGTTGTATATCCATTTTAAGATGAATATAAGGTCAGGATGACCATCACACAATTCTGGACATTATCTTTCTTGGTGTCGCTACTGAAAAAGTCTAAGCCTAATTGGTTTAGTTCAAAATTCATATTTCAACATTCTCAAGTATGTGATAAAGGGAATAGAATGATCGGTTCAATGATTGGTTGGTTGATTATTTACTTTTATTTTATTCAAAAATTAGCAATTTCAAATTTATTTTTTAATGATACATTATCAGGGGATGTGAAAATACATCTTCAACTTATTGCGATAACGATCACGATATCGTGTTTTGAATTTGGAAAGTAGCATAGGCTTAGCTAAGAAAATAGACCACGACTGGTATTAGGTAATTACCACAATAAAGCAAAATTAATTCAATTGCATTTAAAGAAATACATCATGGATCGTGTTTTCCATTGCAATCTCATTTTGACTACTTGTATTCGCGAGTGGACCTGTAGGCTATAATTAATAAGTGGTGTAGCATGCAGTTTCAACATTTCAGTAAATAAAATACACGAAACGAACCATCAAATTTATAATCAATGGAGGCCAATCAAATGATGAGTTTCAAAACTGATTCCATACACGAAATAACCATTTTTTCGAAAGCAATTGTCAATTGTTTCAATTTTAAGTTTTGTGCTATGCAGTTGTTCAGTTCAGTATTATTGTTCAAGGACTGGCCATAACACATAGAAGTTATTACATTCCTTAATTTCCAATAGTGCTATCCGTGTCTGTATTTTTGCGTTGATAATTTTAGATAAAACGTGTCTTGAACTGTACTAGGCCTATGTCTTAGAGTTAGAAATTTGGAAATAAATTGATAAACCTTTACTAGGCCAGCTGGTGCTTGATGACTTGGTCTGACTAGGTAGTCAGAAGCAGACCATGGACCTGGGGCCTGACTTAAATAATAGAAGGCCTATTTATAGGACCTAAATACTGTACTGCAAATTAGTACAATGTTGATAGACCCCTATTTTTTAATAGGTATTTTGTAAAAGTTTGTACACGGCAACCAAGTCTATATATTACTCAACATATGAGTAAAATTAAATTTGTTAAAACTAAACAAAGCACAGCCTGCAGAAACACTTGCCAAAAAACCCAAATGATGATTTTTTTTTCAAAGACTCATTCAATGTCCTACTTCATCCGTGACGTCACCATTATACCTCAGAGGATATTTTCCTATCCCACCCGTGTAGTAATTTGTCATTAGTGCACGGTTAGTTTGAGTTTTTTTGCGAATCGTGAACAAACAAATATATTACAAACATTAGACCCAATCTTAGCCGCTTTAAATTTACTCGTTCTTTTTTTTAAATTTCTTGTTATTCAGTGAAGCAACGATAACCATCGCATACCTGATTATTTATCAAAAAATATTTACTCGTTTATAAAATAAATAGGCAAAATGTAATGTTTCGTTATGTTTATTTATTGGTAGATTGATTCAATTATTGGTTGGTTGATCGATTAATCGATTGAGTTGGTATTTGTGGAAATAGTTACAACCATAATGTTAAGCTAATGCATTTCACTTCTATGCTTAAATTTATTACTATTATTTTAGGCCTTTTCAAAAATTAGCAGTTTTAAATTGATTTTTTAAGGGTACTTTTGTAATTTATGAGGGTGGGGCGGGGGAATACATCTTTAACTTTTTGCGATAACTATCACGATATCGTGTTTTGAATTTTGGAAATGCCACTGACTTAATTAGAGCAACCGATAAAGCTTTTAATGTTCCAAAGAATCATTCGATAGCTATAAATAAACTTGAAAGATTCTTCCATGGTTACGTGGTGTGAGAACAAGGTGCACACGTGATCTTTCGTATTGAAGCTGAAGGCATCGCAACATCGAGTTTCCAAACACATTTGAGAACATTTGACACCTGATCCGACGACTCCTTGGTACAGACGCTGACCAGCAAGACTTCTCGTTGGAACCAACTTTTCGAACAACGCACCCTTCTTATCAAATATCCAGTCTGAAAAGTTTTAATGAAGCAGGAATATATCAAATGAATGAATGTGCTTTCTATTTACATTAATAAAGATTTACTATGAGTCAGTAGGCCCTATGTGACAAACGGACGGACTTATGATTGAGGAGGCCCAGAGAGGGACTTTTACAGATGGAGGATAATCCAGTATACAGACGATGTCAGCCCCAGGTTTGAACTTTATGGCTATGTAACCTCTAGATGGCCAGTGTTCATACTTTCCATTGACATTTGAATTTTCTTTTTTCTTTTTTTTTTTTAATTAATAAAAAAAAAAGAGGGAATTAAATTCGCTCCCTAGCTCTCAAGTAAGGGGCACAGGCCATCGCGATTCTCTTATTATTTCAAATCGTATTCATTCATCACCATTACTAAAGATAGACGAATAGGCATAAAGGTTAAATTATAGAAATCTCGATGGTTTTTTCAGTTTATTACATACTGTCTTATGCAAACTTTATCACTATATTGTATAATGAATATAGAGAAAATGTATTAACTGAGGCCTACTTGTAAGTGGCCGGTCTCTGGCAGCCTTTATCTCTGCTTCATCCAATACACGGTCGTACAACTGAAGCGCTGCAAGCAGTGTGTTGAGTTGACCACTACTGCCAAGTTCAATTTCCGTATGAGAAATTTGAAACCCGAAGTTTTGGTCTGGGATATTGCCGATGCTTGCTATCTCTCCGTTTCTCCACAGTTTGGTTAATAGTTCATTGCCGTCGAATGTCAGAGCGAGGAATGTCCAAGTATCAGGCAAAAGGACATGGGCCCGCGTTACCTGTTGGCCACCATAAAAGACAGTCACTTCAGATTTATAAAGAAGACCGTTGGAATATGTTTGCTCTATTCGCAGACAGTCTTGAGCTTCCCAAATCTTTAAGATGTTGCCCTCTGTATTGATATTCGGGTAGATATAGAATGCTACCGTGAAAGCATCCATTTCATTGTCGTTGAAACTATTTTCAAAAGTGTCCAGAAGGACAGTTTTTGAAACCTCATCCTTACAATCTCCGTTTCCAACCGTGGTGATCATCTTGGTCTCATACAACATACATGACCAGCTTAGCTGCCAAACGCCTACTGGGTTCAGTTTATTCGTAATCGGACCTGCGTTTTTAGAAAATAACGAATTTTGCAGATTTTCAAAAATTAAACAATTTTTGTTTAAGGAACATTTATACTAAATTTGTCGTGTTTTCCTCTGTAAATTATTGTCCAGAATATTGTTTTCATGCCATAACAACTATAATCCATGGAAATAATCAGAGTATCGCTATGGTTGTATCTTGGTTCTGTTTTCTGTTACACATCTTATTTTATATGGAGCTGGCTCCCAAAGCATGTGATTATTTTGGTACCTTATGTACAGTAGGTGTGACTATAGGCCTATGTGACTATAATTTATGATGTATTCTTTGATCTATGAATGATTTATTCTCTTTAATAGAGTACGATATTATGTACACTGTACAAAAATAGTTTTCTATCTTTGGAAAATTTGTAAAGTAAAAACATTTTAAGTCTAAAATTGGCAAAACAACGTAAGAAAATTACATTTTACTGGTTTACTTAAAGAACCAAAAAAAGGTGCATAGGCCTAATTCTTAGGCCTGGGTAACTTACTGGCCCCGGTCTTGTGTTCATCGTATATTCTGACCTCACAAATATTTAAAAATTCAGTCTTCGTAGGTTGCCATAAGATGACGTAGCGACCAGTGATTGGTGGTTGGCAGGTTCTGTCAATAATTGGGCTGAGAATTGTGCTGGCCATAGTTACAGGTTCTCCACACTTTTTGGAATCGTCGTCTGCGATTCCCAAAGATGAAGTTGAACTGATTCTGATTTCGGCACCTTCTAATCGCTTATGGACAGTCGATCCTAAGAAAATACACCTATTTCAATAAATTATTCCGTTTTTATATATTTTATAATGCCATTCCTTTTCATCTATTACCCTTACTTCTAAGGAGGAGAAAGTAAAGGTTTACCTTAATAGCAAGCAATATTAAGTAGGCCTATAATAGTTAAAAAGTTACATGACCAGACAAATTAAATCACGGTCAAGTAGTTAAAAATCACCTAAAATCACCTTATTTTGCGAATTAGCGCCCCTCAACTGATCATCGAGCCTCCCCACTTCACCTTCGCGCCCCCCCCCCCCCCCCATTTCAAGACTTCTAGATACGCCACTGGCTCCGGTGTTTACTCATATTTACGAAAATAGTTTTCATATTCATAACGTTGTGGAAACCTCGCATATAAATAAAAATGCTAAACCTTTGTATTAAATCATCGTTCCACAACCTTTTTATAACCCGCAACTCAAATCCAAATATTTAATATGAAGGAGGGTGCTAGAATAAAACAATATAAGGTTGTTAATACCTTGAAAACAGTTCCCATGTAATAGGATTGATGTGACGTGCTATTGGTGGCAGTATTTACACATCTATGGAATTACTACCACTGACTACACAACGACACGTCAAATGTCAAGTTAACTCGCATTCATCTCGGGGTTCGGTACCGTGTTCGGTTGCTGACATTCTTTTGTCGGCACTTTCCTTTGTTACCATCATTTTTGTTTTATCTGAAGCGATTGCGCGACCCCTCCAAATGTCGTCGCGACCCATAGGTTGCGGAACGGGGTATTAATTATTATACACCCAGTAACCCTTACATCATTTCCTATGAAATGTTTTGATGAAAATAGTTCATAATAAAGGATACACATGATTTCGTTGAAGTCGTCATTATTTTCTTGCAGCGTATTTTTAAACACTTAGACATAGAAATCCCTATTCAGAGGACACTCATTATGGGGACATTTGTTTGGTCTAAAATGTGTTGGACTTCGACTGCATTAATAGAAGTCACACATTAAAGTTTTACCTATTACAATAAGCATGTATTAACTCCTTATAGAGGTTTCAAAATGATATTTGCAATACTTGTCTACCTGGTTCAACCCGATTTATTACTGTAACTCGGGTAATCCGGTATGATTTTTGAAGATCGATCTTCAACCATTCCTGGGAACCACCTCCTGTGAATAAAGTTACATTAAAAGAGTAAACAGTTTGAACAAAGGTAGCAATTGCATATCTAAGAGTAAGTGGGCGTGGGGACTGATGGGTGTGCAAATGTGTAGTGCCTGAAGGGGAGAATAGCTGGCAAAATAATTCGATTTTTATCTGCTTAGAAATTTTCGACTTGGGAGAGGTGGGTCGTGCACCTCTATAAACACGCCACTGAATGAAGAAAGGTGAGCAGTAGACAAGACTGCGCGCTGTTTTGTGTGTTTAAACAAAGAAAAATCATAACTTTTATTTGTTCAAATTATATAAAATATACAATTGGAAATTTGTTGTTTGATACACTACGTAAAATTGTAAAAAATTTTTATGATAAAAAGTCTAACACACAGCAAATACTAAAGGCCGTAACACACACACACACAAAACAATATTACAAATTAAACGATCGTATTCAATATAACAAGTTAAAAGTCATACAAATTTAGAAAGCATTTAAAAAGTTAAAACCCTACATTTAAAACATTGTGTAGATTTTCTTTTTAAATTTAAAATCACCCCAGTTTAAAGATTTTTAAGACACCATCAAAAGAAAAACAGTTAACATTTGTAAATTGTTAAGAATGATGAAATGGTATTTAGATAGCATACTAGCCTCATACACTTCATTAGGATGGTTGTTGACATGATTTCATTGCTGAGGAAACGACCCTATGCTTGCGCATAATAAAACTTGTAAAATTAATGAGTGAATTAGATTGAAAGCAACAGTACATCCCAACAATCGTTATTGTGCAGATGGTTTATATTGGAAAAGATTAAAGATGTCCTATATCTGTAAAAAAAAACCCAGGAAAATACGGGAAATACCTCAAAAAACGTTTTTTTTTACATTTAATTGTATGTAAATAACCTACTTAAATATACAGATTAAGCAATTAAAATTTGGAGTTAAAATTTTCAATTTTTTTTTACTTCATGACATATAATACATTTTTAAAGATGTAGCGCAGAGTGGCGCCTCATGCTGCCCGGTAGAAATGTTGTTGCAGCACGTAAAAATAAATTAAAAACTCTGAATGCGGTGGTCCTACCACGGCCAGAAAACCTCTTGACAACCCAATCATCTGTTAGGTGATAGGAAAGTGATATTAAAACCGAGCATGTATGGAGGTTTTACAAGTACAATGGAAGTATACCGCCCTCTCAAGGTGAAAGTTCATATAGGTATTGTTATACCCAACACCCCACCCCACCCCGCTATATATGAATGATTATTTACCTGAATGAAAGCATGATGATCCACCTGAAATTGGATGAATAAGAATTGTATAATCATCTCCATCAATAGCACATTCTGGCATGTGAAATATACCGGTTGCGGAATAGACAGACTTTGATGATGCAGTTTTGTTCCAGGACAGGTAGTCTGCAAAATGATTAAAAGATGATTAATGTCGTTCGTTTAAAATTGTTAATACAAATACAGATAAAGGCTAGGCCTATGCCATTATGAAACGGAAATCATATGAAAGAGAAAATTGGAGGAATTAACTGCTGTGAACCTGCCAGGTTTATATTGTTTGATGTGAATATGCTAATTCCTCATTTGTATAATTAATATTTCACTAATTTTAGGCTAGTTATCAAGATTACTAAAGTTTGTAAGTCTGATTGATTACAAACTTGGCAGAATGCAAGATGGTAATGAAATAACGGAGATTATTTTGTAGTTTACACGTGCGCATATGCTAATTGATTATTTCCATAATTAATATTTTTCTAATTAGAAAATTTACTCTAGTTACCACGATAACTAAAGTTTGGTAAGTCTAATTGGTTTCACACTTTGAAAAATGCAAGATGGTAATTTTGAATGTTTAAACTTGTATTTCTAATATTATACTAGGCCTTATTATATTTTATTGATAGAAGTATAGTTTTATATTTGTTGTCGTTTTTAAAGAGGTCCTCGGGATATCAGCTGGCATACCATACTCGCGCGAATAAGCGCCCCGTTTGAATAAGCGCCCCTCTATAATTTGAATAATAATATCGTAGGATTTTTTTTTTAACAAGTCAATAATTCAATCAATCCTGGGACTGTGGTTGTTGGCATGATTTGAGCTGCAGAGTGGAAACACATTCTTTTTATGTCAATATCAAAATGAGGATATTTCTCTTGGAGAGGTGAGAGCTCCGATCCCTGGACAGACAGTATATATTTCCAACTTTACACTTTTTACATATTTGTCTATGCTTAGTCCTACTCCTCCTTTTCTTTTTCCGACCTTTAGCACATTCTCATCTGAGTTTTCAAGAAAAAATAAAATGATCCTGCCATCCTGCTAATCTCAATTGGCCGATGATCAACAAGCTAACCACTACCCACCACCACTAATTGCATCTGTATTTTGCTGTAAATATTCACGCATTCTTGTCATGAGCCATGTTCCCTGGACGATTATCCTTTCCGCCTAACCACCATTCGTAATGTCCTTAGATAATCTTTTTTCAAAAAGTGCCTCTTGAATTTAATAATTTCCCATAAGAACCCCTCGATTTTCATCTATTTCCATAAGCGCCCCCTCAATTTCCACTCTGTTTTCATAAGCGCCCCGTTCGAATAAGTGCCCAGTTTGAATAAGCGACCTCTCAGAAAAGTGCAAAAAATATTTTAAGCGCTTATTCGCGCGAGAACGGTACGGGTTTAGATAAATAAAGTTGAAATAAATAAATTGACAACAAGTAAGCTAAAATAGCATAAGGCCTTATATACAAGCTTGTGCAAAATATATATTTTTTCAACAACTTGTTAAAAATTAAGTTTTAAAAAATAGAGCCATTTTAAATTATTTTAAAATAAAGCAAAATTGCTAATAGATCTCCGAATACAGGGTACTATTTCCTTACTTAACCTTTAAAAACAATTGTAAAATAGATTTAAAGATATAATGACTTTATTCAAATTATCAAAAACCATCACAAATGAAATTAAGTTCAAGACAATTCATTTTTTTCCTGATATACAGACTTCTAAAATACAATTTATTTATTATTTACATATTTAAGGATGTAAACGATAATGTTATTATCCGTGAGAGATATTTTTAAAGCTCATAATTTGCTGAAATTATGAAGTTCAAACAATTGGATTTTATCTACAAGTTGTTTACTAATTCCGCTTGTAAAAGAATAAAATATTAGAATTAAAATGCTTTTCTTATACTCACAAGACTTTGCACCATAGATGAAAAGTAAGACATAGTACATCATGAATCGTATTTTCCATTGCAATCTCATTTTGTCTGATTTTATCAGTAAAAAGGAAAGCTCATGTATTGACGTGTAGAATTAATAAGTGGTGTAGCATGCAGTTTAACCATTTTGTTAAATAACCAACTGACGTCAATATATTTAAAAGAATAGTACACTGATAGGATACACGAAACAATCGTCATACATTCTAATTTATAATCAATAAGTCATTCATATGAAGAGTTTTAAAATTTATAACGTAAACGTAATCATATACTGAGTTCATACACGAAATAACCATTTACTCAAATTTTTGGTGTTAGTCAAAAGAATCAATGTGTACCCGATACACAAAGTGTTCAAGGACTGGAAAGAAATAATTCATAGAAATTATTACGTTCCTTAATTTCCACTAATTTTGTCCGTGTATGTATTTTTGTGTTGACAATTTTAGATGAAACGTGTCTTGAACTGTACTATATCTTAGAGTGAGAAATGTAGGAAATTGGTACATCTTTACTAGGGTATCTGGTTCAGGGCTTGGTCCAGATTAGCAGTCATGGAGCTATATTTGTAGGACCTAAAAATCTAAAAATTTTGAATAAGATAAAGGAGAGGGCGCTAACTACGATGCTGTAAAGACGTGTATTCCTTGTTGCTCCTAAAATTTCTTACACAAACCATCAATTTTATTGGTGCCCCGGTCAACGGAAACTACTTCATTGCCGTATGCACATATTATATACCAAAACTAAAAATCGCCCACTGAAAATGGGAAAATCTAAAGCTGAAAAAGAAAAAATCACCTATCACCTGAGGTCCACAGCTCCTAACCAAAATAGCAAAGAGTCAGAGCGGGAAAAATCAAAATCAGGGTGTGACTCAACTGAACCAGAGCCTCAGCCATCAAACGCAATCCTTAGTTCAAAACTGGACCTAATACTCAACAAATTGGATTCGATGGAAACACGAGTCAACAACCTGGAGGCAAAAAATTACCAAAGTTGAGGAAAAAGCAAAAAATAACACTGGATTCATTACGGAGGTAACACGATCGCTTGAATTCATCGAAAAATCAGTGGAGGACAATACCAATAAATGTAAGTTGGCACATGAAGCTTTAGATACCATTATATCTTTAGAAAGAAAAGTAGACGATCTTGAAAACAGATCGAGGAGGAACAATATAATCATTCATAATGTACCAGAAGATTACGAGAAGGAAGGCAATATGTCATGCAAGGAATTCGTTGAATTTTTATTCACTAAGCATATGAAATTAGAGAAAGGGGAC